GATTTTTCAGGGGGGAGGGATTCTTTTGGGGGGCATTTATATTTTTCAGAGGTCTAATTTTTCAGGGGGGTTATAGGTCAAGGGGATGTAGATTTTTCAGGGGGGTGAAGATTTTGCACATGGTGGGGAGGCAGATTTAGTGGAGTATTTATTTTTCTGATGGGGATTTTTCTACAGGGGGGGAGGGTTGCAGATTTTTTGGGGCTACATGCAGATTTCTTCAAGGGGTGGGGGTTTTCAAGGAGGTTCAGAGGGGTGCATCACAAGGTGCATTTAATACTTTACCTCAATAATTTGCAGGAGTAAATCTTTGGCAGCGTGTACTGAATACGGCTGAAGTTGACTTTGAATATATTTATCATGAATAACTTGCACTGTACAATCCAGTATCTCATCGAGGAGATCGAGAACAAAGTCTTGACTGTTTTCTTGTTCTATCATAGAATTCCTGTCGGCAGACAATATGATTCTCATTATATTTAAACTAACCCAAACTAAAGTACCGGGTAGCACAATTTATACTGGATAGCTCTATCAGTTCTAAACTGCTCTCCTTAGAGGTCCAGTAAGGATCATCTCTTATTGATCCAGTTTTACTACAGGAAGAAATCTAAACTACCTTTATTTATACTGCATATAGCTCTATCAGTTCTAAACAGTTCTTCCTAGAGATCCAGTAGGATCGATCATCAGTAGGATTGATCATCAATTGCATGATCCAGTTTTACTACAGGAGGAAACTAAACAAACTAACTTTATTTACACTAGATAGCTCTATCAATTCTAAACTGTTCTTCCTAGAGGTCCAGTAAGAATCATCTCTTATTGATCCAGTGTTACTACAGGAGGAAACCTAAACTAAACTAACTTTATTTATACTGGATAGTTCTATCAATTCTAAACTGTTTTTCCTAGAGGTCCAGTAAGAATCATCTCTTATTGATCCAGTGTTACTACAGGAGGAAACCTAAACTAAACCAACTTTATTTATACTGGATAGCTCGATCTATCAGTTCTAAACAGTTCTTCCTAGAGGTCCAGTAAGGATCATCTCTTATTGATCCAGTGTTACTACAGGAGGAAACCTAAACTAAACTAACTTTATTTATACTGGATAGATCCACCAGTTCTAAATTGTTCTCCCTAGAGGTCCAGTAAGGATCATCTCTTATTGATCTAGTGTTACTACCTGGAAACCTGAACTAAACTAATTTTATTTATACTGGATAGTTGTATCAGTTCTAAACTATTCTTCCTAGAGGTCCAGTGAAGTCACCTAACTTTCAACTTCCCAACTTTCAACTTGGGGGAAGTTGAAATTTATAATGCAGGACCCCACTGAAAAACACTTCGGTGACGTGGGTATCCTGGATAAATATAATAATAACTTCAGTTTCTACTGGTCACTGGATAGCTGTATCAGTTCTAAACTGTTCTCCCTAGAAGTCCAGAGTAATGTAAATTCCATTTCACATTTCACAAGCACTACATACCACTGACCACGTTTGATCAGTAATAAGGCAAGGATGCAAGACAACACATCAAATTATTTACACAAATAATTTTCCATTTAAAACCTCTAAAATATATGGGTAGTTATCAAGCTAGTAGCAATTACTTCATACCCCATTACTATAGAAATACTGTTAATATATAATACCATTGGTTTTCGTTGAATTTCCCTGGAATAATATCGTTTGTTGTTGCCACTGGAGGTGGTTGAGATGGCGGCTTCTTCTCATTTCTTGACTTGCTCATTGCAAAACGAGTTTAATTTAAACGTAAATATCTCTTCTTTTCCACAAAAAAGCCCGAAGACTGCGTAGTCTAGATCTGTGCTACTACATCTGTTAGCCTTAGCTTGCTAACGTTTGTATAAAAGCTTTAGAACAACAATATTTTTGTTCAATTTTACATGTACATTTTTTTATACTTTTAAAAATCCAATATGGCGGCTGTTGCCATACTGTTGCCATGGTTATGGTAACATAGGCAACGTATATCCCAGTAATACATTGCGCGCTTATTTCTGACATTTCTTCAATTTTCAAAAGATAGAACTTTTGGAGACGGGTAAATTTTCCATATCTCAAAATATATTTCAATTTAATGTATCAGTAAAAGTACCCTCAAAATGCAGAAATAATATATCTAAGATCGAAAACGAAATTATTTTCTGAAGTGCATTATTCTAGATATAAAATGTCATAAATGTGTCGATTTTATACCATACAAACATGGTCAAATATGAACATTCATTATACTGTATATATAGACTTGCAAATGGATCTGATACTTCGGTCTTTAACAGCAGTGTGGCCGGTGGCGAATGTCAGTTGCGCATTTACTATGTAAAAATACAAATGTTAATAAAAATACAAAAATATATTTAAACGATTTCCTTTGCAACTTCCGTTTGTATTCACTGAACTGAATGGACCATATATGATATTGTTAATTCTTCTATTTTTTAATAGCATTACTACAAAATATTACCCCCGAGTTATTGAGAAGCTTGTTCATGCTTTGTTCGGAACGAACCCTGATTGGCTGATCACGGCAAGCGAATATTTTATTGGTTTCTTATTGGTCAATTTTTTTATTACAAAAGACTGTAATGACGAATACAATATCGTTTGATTTTGCATATTTCACAAAAAGGTAGTTGTTATGGCTCGTTTATATTCTAGTATTTGCCTTTAAATATTGCTAAATGCAAGAAACCAGTTGATATGAGAGAAAAACCTGTGCCTGTGCGAGTTGGCAAGGATTTGCAGCCTTCGGAAACTTTAATGGACGTCACGAAAGAAGAAATAAACTTTGAAAAAGAAACTAGCGAAAACGCTAGCGAAGATACTATTTCGAAAGAACTACCGTCAATGGTCTCAGTTATAGCATTGAACAACACAAACGAGTCTCCCTCGAAGTATACCACCCGTTTATACCAGACGGCCACAGAGTATCGACCAAGTTTGGATATTCCAGGCGAATTTGAGTTTTTGAACAGCGCCTCGGTTTCGGAAAGTCAAAAACAAGCAGTCAAGTTTGGCGTACGCGTTTTTCGAGGTACGTTTATAGCCCGTTTTCTCTCATTATTACACGTTGTTATGTGGTTTAAATATAAATATGAACCAGCAAAGGCTAGCAAGGGAGCTTTACAAACATATGAGCTCAAAAACTCCCATTTCTTAACTCTTTATAAGTCATTTTTAGAAGTTTCTTTTTCGACTTTGAAAATTTGTTTTCGCCGGTGGGAAGAGCTCATGTGACAAAATTTATATCCATCTTACGCCTGCTTTTAAGATCATTATCAGGATTACATGAGAACATAATAATTATTTTACCAGCCATGTATATATTGGATAGTAACGACCGGGCATTTAATATTAATATTGTGGGATTATTATACCAATTTTGTACATGGCGCGAAAATATTTTGTATTGCAACATATATGACATTTATATTTCTTAAAACGCCGAGGTTTTCTGTAATATCCCAAACAATCCCAAACATGGGCTATTAGCTCAAATTTGAATCTGAAATTCCTCTCAGAAACGTTAACAAGGTTTTCACCTTTTATGAAAAAAAAAGTATAAAAAAAAGAAAAAGTCCTTCCAGAAAAAATACATTACATTCTGTAGAGTCACGATCTTCCGGTACTTTCTCTAGATTGGCTGCACAAGCAGGGAGTGCAATTCCAGTCCTTAGAAGACATGTCGCGTTCAGAAATCGCGAGTTCTCTGGAACAATTTTACCTGTCCGCCAGACGACCCAACGGAACGCAATACAAGAAGAATACATTGAAATCAATCAAACATTCGCTGGATCATTATCTACGAGCTTCTCCTCTCAAGAAAGATTTCTCCATATCCACAGACTACGATTTTCGTCAGGTACAGGGTTGTGGACTAGTTCAACGTTTTAAGCCCTGGGCAAACTAGGAAACATTGTTGTGGAAACATTTGTGATTCTCGATGTTTCCTCAAATGTTTCCCTGTTTGCCCACCCGTGGGAACATTGTTGCGGAAACAAAATTTGCTTCCCGAGAAGCAAAATGTTTCCCAGCGAATTCAGAAACATTTGATGTTTCCCTATGTTTCTCACTAATGTTTCCTAGTATTTGCCCACTCATGGAAACATGGCGAAACATTGGTAGGAAACAATGTTTCCGCAACAATGTTTCCTAGTTTGCCCAAGGCTTTAAGGCGGATTTCCACTCCTCGCACGAAGCTCCTCGCAGGTCGCTGCGAGTGATGCACGAGCACTTTCATCCAATCACAATGCTAAACAGTTAATTTTTATTAGATGCAAGCACTCGCAGCGAGTTGCAAGGAGCTTCGTGCGAGGACTGAAAATCCGCCTTTAGGGTCAGTATTGCTAGTGTTATGATAGGTCGTTCAAGCCGCGTCCAGACGAACACGTTATCGGTCATATAAATGGCTTGTGAAACGTTTCGATGAGAAAATTAAACTTAAAGTTTATGTGAAACAGCATGATTTTGTATCAGATATACAAACTCCTTCACGCTCATGATTTCTTTTGTGTTTTCTTCACGAATTAATTATTAACGAGTTTCACAATTGCATAATGAAACTACATCCCTCATTTTTTAAATACAAGAGAATTAACATTATTTTCTCACTCTGCCAACATCTGCTGCACGACAGTGCTTATATCGTGAAACCATAGTGACCATAGTCTTTCGAGACATGGTCTGGAAACACAGTAAACTTCAAAGCGGTTATAATGAGCTGTGTGTTTAGGTTGAGCCGTACCTTACACCGTGCACATTCTTTGTTTTAGGTTTATTAGCATTTAAATAGCATGGTTGAATGACTGAACTGAAACGTTGCTATTGGATGATTCGTTCATTATACTGAAATGTAATGTGTTCACTGACCGTGCACCGTGCACAAAACTGCACAAACTCGAACAAAATTAAGATAGAGCAAAGACTTAGCGGAGTTTCCAAACCATGTTTTGAAAGACTATGGTGAAACCCATCCAGGCCATCCTTATAACATCTTTCTTTGCAGGTGAACAAAACTCTGGACAACCTTCCCGAAGACGCCGACCAGAACCGCTTCCCACAATTCACAAAAGAAATCATTCTCAAACTATACCAGAGCGGTCAACTGGGCCTGACTACAACGGAGGATGCCAGTATAGTTATACAAACGGTCTGGTTCTACGTCGTCGCCTTCTTCTTCACAAATATCGACAAGCGTATGCTGCGGGAGATCAAGGAATCGAACCTAATTTTGGCAAAAGATGAAGACGGGCGCGAATATTATTGGCTAGACTTCAAGCCACCTCAACGTGTCCGAGGCGAGGTGGATAAGTCGCGAATCTACGCGCGACCCGACTCCCTGTGCTGCCCTGTCGCCATCATCAAGAAGTACATGGAACATCGCAATCCTCGCAACGATGTTCTCTTTCAGCATCCTAAAAAGATCAGCCAGTATGTGTGGTATTCTCCTCTACCTTTGGGAAAGAATAAACACACGGATCTCATGAAATCAATGTGTCTGAATGCCGGAGTGGATCCTCCATTGACGGGACGATGTATAAGAAGTTACGTCCAACAGTTGTTGCAGGATTGCGACCAGGCCGTCAACGAGATGTTCCGACTCGAAGCACCATCAACATCAATTACCATGCATGGTGTACTCGTACCAAAGTTTCCCGGGGATACAGATCCATCACTGATACCACCTTTCATACTTAGCGTTCCTCGGTTACCACCACCCATCCTAAGCACCACCGTCTCATCCGCAAGCACCATTCAGAGTAACCATGTCTCCATACAGCCTCGTACCACCACCATGACAAGTAACCATATTACCAACCACGTTGCCACCATGCTTGCAAACCAAAATACCAATATCACCAATAACCACACCACTACTCAAAATAATCATGTTACCACCACACACTATGGGAGACATTTGACTATACAGGGTAACCATGTCATAAGCAACCCTCCTGGTGTTACCACAGTTAGCGCTTTCCCAAACAGCTTTGTACTACCATATCCAACCAGTTTCTCCACCGTCAACGATTTTGCAAAGCCAAAGGAATCGTACAATGGTAGCCAGAGAAGCACAACATACTACAGTACGAAAGGAGCAACCTATGCATTAAGTAACCATCATTTTGACGCCACCTATAATGGTAGCCAGACCAGCTCAACACACCATGGTATAAAACCACCATCAGATGTTACAAGTAATGGTACCAGTATGGCCACCAATCTTCAGTCCACTGTGGAAAAATCTACCATATCTGTAGTACCATTGCAACAGACATCCCAAAGCACCCAACAAAGCTTTAACAGCGAATGTCCAAGTCTTACAACTGAAATCTCAACTCAAACAGAACCAGCTAACAAACAATGGTTAGAGTCTGCCTACCACAAAGCGGACTTAAAAACCAGAAACAAAATGAGACTACAAGCACGAAAGTCGTTGTTGTGTTTCCTAGAAGAGCTCAACGAAATTTCAGATGGTCATGGCACCGAGTTATTCTACGAAATTGTCCAAGAAGATACGAATATGTGGAGGTCGATTGCCAAACCTACTTCTTCAAAATAACTCTAACAACTATGAAATTAATTTAAATTTTACGACTACGAAAGCTGAAAGCAATCGATTTGATTTGAAGGTATTAGGATTGCTTTATTATCTAAATGCTCAAAATTGCATCGCATGTGTTTATAATGACGAGTCGTGTAGTTACCTTTGCTCTGTTCCACGCTTTGGTAAACTGTTACAATAGAAACTACAATTGTAAATTGCGTATAAACAAAAGCGTTACTTAAATTTCTCTATTGCAATTATTCCGATTGTGTTGCGTTTAAAATTGATAATTTCAGGAATTATTGACGTTTGTAAAAATTGAACAAATTTCGTGCACACAAATTTATATATATACATATCGATATAGTTTGTGAATTGTTGTACATATTGTATATATTTATGTATATTTAATATTTTTGTATAAATTCAGAGTTGAAGTTTGAAATAATAATAATGAATAATTAAAGTTATGTTTTATCATGTGTCTATAGTAAATGTGATGCAGGACTTCATGATTGTGAACAAACTTTATCTAAGATTGGATAAAATGGTATTGAAAAAGTCGTAGGACTGGATGAAGTTTGATCAAGTCCTAGAACTGGATGAAGTTTTGATCAAGCCCTAGAACTGGATGAAGTTTTGATCAAGTCTTAGAACTGGATGAAGTTTTGATCAAGTCCTAGGACTAGATGAAGTTTGATCAAGTCCTATGACTGGATGAAGTTTGATCAAGTCCTAGGACTGGATAAAGTTTGATAAGTCCTAGGACTGGATAAAGTTTGATCAAGTCCTAGGACTGGATGAAGTTTGATCAAGTCCTAGGACTGGATGAAGTTTGATCAAGTCTGAGGGCTGGATGAAGTTTGATCAAGTCATAGGACTGGATGAAGTTTGATCAAGTCTTAGGACTGGATAAAGTTTGATCAAGTCTTAGGACTGGAGAAAGTTTGATCAAGTCCTAGGACTGAATGAAATTTGATGAAGTCTTGGGACTGGATGAAGTTTCAAGTCCTAGGACTGAATTGAGTTTTTGATCGCGAGAATTAGATAAATTCATGAACAGAATTCAGCAAAGCCTGTATGACAAAGGAATTTTTCAAAACTCAAAAAAAGGAGTTTATTGTTTAATTTCGCGTGTACATAGACATACTTCATCTGCAATACTTTAAAACCAACGTCTGGTATTATATATATCACAAACGAATTTAAGCCTTCACATCGTACAATAAATAATCTATAAATCAGAGAATTAATTCAGTTTCTGAGAATAGTAGAAAGTTTCTAGATGGTCGTGGCTGTCATGACCATGCACGTCATGGATCTTGTCTTGCGTGTTTTATGCAAATCTGTCTACTGATATACAGGGTGTATAAAAAAAAACGCAACCTCGGAATTTCCCAAGAAATCGACATTGTTTTAAGGACAAAATATTTTAGGTGCCTGGGAATTTAAAATAGCACCACTGTCAAAATTACAGCACACGCGAGTGCACAAAGCAAAATTTATACATTTATTTAATGGCACTTAATAAGTTTTTATTTTACAAGTACGATACAACAACAGTAATATGATCAATTAGCAATTCGATTTCAATTCCCAGGGGCCTAATATCTTTTATGCTTAAGAATTGCAAAGTGGTTTCTTAGGAAATTCCGAGGTGGCGTTTATTTTCGACACTTACATTACATGTCAAATAGTCTGCATCTATTTTGTGCTGTGTGTTTCTACTGATTTCAAAGTTACACAGACATTTCATTACATGTGAAATGGTCAGTGTACAGTCCCTTACGAAAATTTCACATATAACTTGCCCACAAAATGACTTTTCACATGCAGTGTTTCAATTCCTCATAAGAAATAATTTCACACATGTGAAAGTCACATTTCATGTGGTGAAAATTGTGAATTCCACATATGAAATGGGCGTGTTCACATATGAAATGTGCGTGGTCACATATGAAATGGGCGTGTTCACATGTGAAATGTTCCACATAAAATTTCACACGCGAAGTGATATGTGAATTTTCTGCGATTGGTGCACCGTATATGTAAATCAGTCTGTACTGACTGCAGAGATATCACAACACTCCATTTCAATACATGTGAATAGTCTGGATCTCTCCTAACACGCTGGCTACCATGGCATATTCACGACAGCCACAACCAAGTAGAAACCAGGCATAATTTTATGAAAGGATATAGCAAAACACGTTAGGTTTTGGGCTGATTTTACAAGAGCGTCCAAAGGACATTTGAAGAATCGAAGCATTAAGAATTATCCACTTTTTTAACATTATCCAAGATCAACTTTTTCAGACTTAAGGTGGCTACCTATAGTATACCCGTACGAAAACATCGCAATGTTTTCCAGTTCGATTATAGAATCGCCCTAAATTTTCTGAGATTTTTGCGAAATGCAAAAGGAGAATACTTCTAAATTATATGATACCGAGAAACTATAGGTTAACGACCGTAATATCTAAAAAGGTTGCGTCTTAGGCACGAAAGTGTGTAGAATATTGCGCTAGCCGGGAGGTGATAAGATCACGTCTTTTTGGGGCTAGAGGAGCTTGAATCTTTTCTTGGTGGCATACGTTCATTGACCAGATCGAGATGACGAGCCTCTTTAAACGATTTGATCTTGTGATGGTTCCAGTCACCGCTCAAAGCTGGAATGAAGATATAGGATGTTCAGAATGTTCAGTAAGAAATATTACACTGAAGTACACTAGCAAACAAACTCCATACCTTCTTCCAAAGAATCGCGCCCTCCAGACAAAACACCGGTGGGAAGATAGCCTGATGGTGTGAGACCTTTCAGTTTTAGAATACTATCACTTTCTTCCCTGATGTAGAAAGTTGAGAGTTTAAAAATCATTATTAATCCATGTTAAGCTGCAATGTACCTTAATGTTGGCTCATTACTTTACCTTAGTACACTGAAGAGTCGTCCCATCTTTCCAATAGCTCGTATCTTGTTTCGAATGACTTCCTTCCTTTTGGCCGCTTCTCTAGTCTTCTCTTCGTCTTCCTTGACGTCGTCCAGTTCTTCATCAGTACAGATGTTTAAAATGTTCACTAACATTTCTGTCACTGTAATAGCAATGTATCCCGCGTAAGTACAGTGGACTTATCAGCCTAAACTAACTTTATTTACGCTGGATAGCTTTATCAGTTCTAAACTGTTCTTTCTAGAGACCCAGTAAGGATCATCTTTTATTGATGCAGTGTTACCACAGGAGGAAACCTAAACTAAACTAACTTTATTTATACTGGATAGCTCTAACAGTTCTAAACTGTTCTTCCTAGAGGTTCAGTAAGGGTCATCTCTTATTGATGCAGTGTTACTACAAGAGGAAACCTAAACTAACTTTATTTATACTGGATAGCTTAATCAGTTCTGAACTGTTCTTCCTAGAGGTCCAGTAAGAGCCATCTCTTATTGATCCAATGTCACTGCAGAAGGAAACATAAACTAAACTAACTTTATTTATTCCGGGTAGTTTTATCAGTTCTAAACCATTCTTTCTAGAGGTCCAGTAAGGATAATCTCTTATTGATCCAGTGTTACTACAGGAGGAAACTTAAACTAAACTAACTTTACTTATACCACAGTTAAACTGGATAGCTCTATCAGTTCTAAACTGTTCTCCCTAGAGGTCCAGTAAGGATCATCCTTTATTGTTCCATACTAGATAGCTGTACTAGTCCCAAACTATTCTTCCTAGAGGTAGAGTAAGGATCATCCCATATCGATCCAGTATCGCTATAGGAGGAAATTGGAGCATTCAGAGAAAACCTGTGATATTTGGGTCAAACTTAAGGCACTCTTCTCAAAGGATTGAGACGAACCTCTGTCAATCTTGTAGAAAGAAAACGACTTCCCCTATTCTTTGTCGTTTCAAAGCACGTTACACTCAAGGGACATTGGAAATTACCTTTTTCACCAACGAATGGCAAAGACCATGTAAAAACGTCCATAAAGTTTGGCAGCCAATATGGATGAGGTGAGCAGTTAAATTGTCGTATGTTCATTACATTATTCTCATATTTTAAAACAGCAGCTAAAAGAAGGTAGAAATTAAAGATTACTGATTTTGCCTACCGTTCACTACAGGGTTATAAGTGCAAAAGAGAAAGTTGTATACCTTTGTTGTTGTAAACATCCAAATAATTCGGTGCTGAGAAAATAGTAATAAGCGATGGGAATCCAGTCGTCTGACTTTTTCTATACATTCTATACCTGTGGTGGAAAAACACACATTTGTACACAGAATGAATGGTAATCTAGGGAATATTTAGGAAACTGAAGCAAGAAGAATTCAAGGACTTTCGAGTATTTTTTACAAATTCCAGGATATTCAAGGCCTTGAATTTTTGTCTTCAAATTCAAGGACATTCAAGGACTTTCAAGTTTTGTACAACCCTGTCTCAAGTACTTACCCAGCATCTTGAGCCTCGTGAGCGCGTATTACGGAAAGTAGATTGTTATTTTGTAAAAACTCACAGATGGCTTGGTAGCTAAAACGAGAAATACATTGTTTTGAAAATATGCTTTTGACAATAATAATAATGCACTTTATTTTCATTGGGTGACCAGATTTACACTACGTAATTTTCGTCCAGGCTCAACATTTTGAAACTATTTACATATACATGGACATCACACACAATAATATATATCTCAGACAATAAGCGACACAATTGTTTACCTGTAGAAGTATGAGCATCCTCTAACACTATTGTGACTGTAGTTTTCATTCGTTTTCTCATTGCCATAGTCTTCCAATGGATCTGACCACAACATATCACACATTGGACCAAAGGCAGGAGGTTCTTTATAACGATCCAACTGGAAAACAATAGTTTAACATTCAAGTCTGCATTCATCGCAGGAGTCAACTCACAAAAGCTCGCTATGACAGCTTTCATTCAAATTTAAAAGAATATGGCAATATAAATTAAGTTTGTCTTATTTGAAAGAACATTTAAAATGATATATAAACTTCCTTTCAATTACTCCGTATCTTGCTTGGCTTTCGAAATAAATCGACTTATTTTGATCAAAAGCAACGTGCATTCCGCCATCTTGGATATGCTTCGATATGCATATGTCACAAGTTGGGTAAAAAAAAAGAAGAAATTTTTATCTTGCAAACCACATATCATTATCAATATGAAACTCGTCGACTGAAGGTCTTTCTAGTACTCAATTAACTCACAATATTTTAAGAAACTTTTCGAAGAAATTTAGTCCCACATGAAGAAGTTTTAATAAGTTTACCCTGCTTGTGACGTAATCAAAAACTCAGTTAATTGACCATTTGCGTAATAGACTAAATTTTGATCTCAACAAAAATTTCATTACAGCTTGAAAGAGCATCACAAAATTAGTAATATTCCAAAGTTTCGTTGCAAAATGTTGTAAAATGCGGAAAATATAGCCTTGCGAAATTTGCAATTTTCAGTCCTTTTAGATTACAAACCGGAAATTGACAGCCTCGAAGGGTTTGGGGCTGTCAATTTCCCGTTTGTAATCTACAATGACTGAAAATTGCAAATTTCGCAAGTGCAAGGCTATATTTTCCGCATTTTACAACATTTTGCAACGAAACTTTGGAATATTACTAATTTTGCGATGCTCCTTCAAGCTGTAATGAAATTTTTGTCTAGACTTGTTTAGTTCAAAATTTAGTCTATTACGCAAATGGTCAATTAGGTCAATTATAATGCCAAGATGGCGGACTGCACACTGTTTTTGGTCAAAATACTTCGAAAGGGTCTTCATATATAACTTTAAAAGTTCTTTCAAATAAGACAAGTTAATTTTGAATGCCATACCCTTTAAGGTTGGGCGATATTTCGATATTATCGTGATATTTCCACTCCTGATTATCGTATCGAAAGTAGAAACATGAGCGACGATATATCGTAATTATCATTATGGTCAATGATTATATCGTGATATTGTTTGACAAAATCCGAAAACAGTTGTTTGACAAAATCCGAAAACAGTTGTTTTAATTTCTCGAACAAATAAACGTTACTATCGGCAGTGGACAGCCAAAGTTTATGCAATGATGAAATATTTAACAAATGTAATTTCTCGCACACAATTTCTCGTTTTCCCACACAATTTCTCGACTTCTCGTTTTCCCAATTTCCACTCGTGTTGATACAACTGTGTATCAATAGACAATACGGAAAATGTTTTATATTTTTTTATATTATAGCACAAAGAAATATAAAGAAAGAGATTTTCTGTGTTGACATTGAGTTATATCAACACGGCTCTTAGCCAATCAGCGTTCAGAATTTACAAATGCTATATTATAAATATATATATATATTTATAGATATATATACTGGATATTTACTTCAATTTGTATTTATAATAATAATGAACTGATATATCTTATGTTAATATATTTTTTTACAGTCTATTATCTAAAATTGGAACTGCGGCCATTATTTTTATTGCATTTATCGCGGTATCGAATATTGTGATAATTTCCTAGACGATAATCATGATATGATGTTAAAAATATCGCCCAACCCTGCAGCCAATCATATTACAGCGAGCTTGCAAGTCAGTTCTTGGAATGAGTGAAAGAGAGGGTTTCGGTAAGGACAACAATAAACAATTCCCATTATAGACTAATTTTAAAACTAGACAAAGAGATGCAAATAAATCACCACAGCTAGAAAGAGTATACTAAGGTGAGTAAAATGGCAAATTTTGGTTGCGACATGTTGTAAAATGCGGAAAATATAGCCTTGCAAAGTTCGCAAATTTTGTATACTTTTGTATTGCGTGTGGAAATTGCTACCACATTTGGGCCAAAAATGGTATATTTTCGCAACCAAACTTTGCAATTTTACTCATTTTAGTATGCTCTTCTAGCTGTGGTGATTGATTTGCATCTCCTTGCCTAGTTTTAAAATTACTCTATAATGGGAATTGTCTATATTGGTTGGCCTCGGCGGCTAGTGCAATTTTGGCCAAAGTTTCACAAATCATTTGCACTGTTAATCTTTAATTGTATTTGCCATCACATGATGAAATGATGCCCAAATCTGTTTACCTTTCGTATGTCGTTAACTGTGTGTATTTCTGGAGACAAGCCACCGTGAACACATAAAAATTGTTGATTCATCAAAGCTGCCAGTGGCAGGCAATCGAAAGACTCCGTACAAGCGTCGTAAACTGTTTCGCTATATTTTATTTTACCTGAAAATGGGAAATTAATGATAAATCATTTTAAGGTGGCTCTCTAAAGATTAATACCAGCAAGTTGTCACAAAGCGATTCATTATTAAGGTGGCTCTATACAGACTTAAGCCTGATTCACATTGATCGGCGATGTTCTACGATCCATTGTCTGTGAGCAACGAAGAAGAAAATGCACAAAACATTTTATGCATCAATGACCACCGACAATGGGCATCGCCGATGTTTACGATCAATGTGAACCAGGCTTTATAGGTAGCTCCTTCTTTCTTAAGGTAGCTCCCTAATGTTTCAAAATCTCACCAAAACTACATCCATATAGAGCATTGTTAAATTAAGGTAGCTCTATGCCAATTTCCCTAATACCAAACTGCACTTCAAAGTTCGAACAATGCCTTTATTATATTAAGGTGGGTCTTGGAAGTCTTCCAAATTTCATAATGAGGGGAAATTCTGGCATTTGAAAAGGGAGTCCTGGCATTTGAAAACGGAATTCTAGCATTTGAAAACGGAATTCTAGCATTTGAAAACGGAATTCTAGCATTTGAAAAGGGAGTTGTGGCATTTGAAAAGGGAGTTGTGGCATTTGAAAAGGGAGTTGTGGCATTTGAAAAGGAAGTTCTGGCATTTGAAAAGGGAGTTGTGGCATTTGAAAAGGGAGTTGTGGCATTTGAAAAGGGAGTTCTGCTATTTGAAAAGGGAGTTCTGCTATTTGAAAAGGGAGTTCTGGCATTTGAAAAGGGAGTTCTGGCATTAGAAAACGGAGTTCTGGCAACTGAAACAGAGCCTTATTAAAGTGGCTGTTTGCAGTTTTCTCAAATACCAAATTAAACTGCACTTCAAACAAAGCCTTGTTATTGCGGATTTCTCAAATACCAAAATGATACTTCAAACAAAGCCATATTAAGGTGGCTCTCAAACATTCTCTAAATAACATAGTGATGTTGAAATAAGGTTAAATGAAGAGGATTCCAAGCTATCCATAAACAGTTTTTCGTTGATCAATTCTTATACAATATGCCATTTCCCTACATACACTTGAAAAGGTTCAAAAATTAATTCATTATGGCTCCATACTTACAACTCATTTGCAAACTAATCCCAAAATATAGTAAAGAGGTATTAATGTTTAATCCAATAAGTAAACATTCCATTCAGGTCAAGCAATCACAAGATTATTTATCTCGTATACAATGAATTCTTATATATATACTTGCTGTCTTGCTCTGACTTGTTGCTTATTTAAAACTCTGGTTTATTTAAGGATACTTTTATTTAAAGACAAGTTTATTTAAGGATATATACAAAGGTTGGGGAGGAAGCTTCAAACTGAAATTTTTGGAAGAAAAAGTTTATACTTAACATAACTTGACCCTCAACACTTTTCCCTTGAGGACTTAAGTGGTCAACTGTATTTGGCAGAGTAAAATAATAAAGTAGGGCCCACGCATTACACAACACACTGGAGCTTTATGGATGAAAAGAAGTAAAGCAGTATTAAAAAAATAACCATTCCCTCACTCCAGACAAATTCTTGATCCTAAGACAAAGTGATGGTGCCTTGATGTGTTCTTGATTCTTAAATGGATTAAAAGCAAAATATCTGCAACTCTTTAACAGGTGCAAAAACCTTATATGGCCAGCAAGCAAGAACCTGCATATCCCTATCCACATTTGCATCAAAGGACAAACAAGATGATAACATAGTTTGCTCTCACATAAAATTTTCATGTTTGTTAAAAACATTATGGATTACGGTTTTAACATATGATTATTTGAGCAGAGCTATATCATATTTACATCTGAGGATAAACAGTCACAGATATTTTAGTTTTAATACTCTCAGACATCAAACTTTTATGAAAAACATTTGACAGCTTTTAATGGCTTTTAATATTCTTTGTCTGTAGATGAGTTTACTTGCCAAGGGGATATATAAACTGTGTATTTTTATATATCAGCCAATTCTTTATGATTTGACAGTTCTTGCAAATTGATAAAATCCAGACAATGTAAATTATTCAGCCTGTTATGCAACAATATGCCCGTAAATGAGAATAGCCTATATGTGGGCCTAATTGCCCTGACAATAAACTAGCAGGATTGAGAAATAGCAAACCATGGTAGCCCAAGGAGACTATTTCATATGTACCCACTAAACTTTGAGAAAGTGACGAACAATATCTGTATGCTTGCTTGAAGAATCGAACTTCATGACAAATATAAAGAAACTAATAATGTTTTTGATGTTACTCTGAGTGTATATCCACACCGGAATCAAACTCGCGACCTTTGGGATACCAGTCGTTCGGTTCGATTCCCACCGTGGTCAGGCCAACCTTTTCAGCTTGCCCGGTGTGGATATACACTCAGAGTAACATCAAAAACATTTTATTCACTTGAGTACATAACATCAAAACACAAACAGATAATATATAAAGAGACTGTTGGTCAATGTCGCACTCAAGACTTTTTAGTTTTTAGGCTAGAAATGTAAGCGCCCATAGCACATTATGATAATTTTTATCTTCAATCTACCACAAAATCTCTAATTTCAATTGTTTTTACATATATTTTGTTACTTTTATGCCCTTGACTAACTCTTGATCAGCACTAGGCAACTGTATTGCGCACATGCACTTCCGTTCGGACTTTTCCCCCACCCGGGATCTCGTCAAAAACTGCCCAACTTAGCAGTCTGGCCAAACAACGGGTTTCTACCTCAAAAATACAAGGGCCTTCACTCGAGAACGTTAAGGTTCTGATTGTATTTGTCTCAGGCAGTTGTATTTCTCTTAAACCGCAGCTGCATTGTTGCCGTCGCTACGGATGCTGGGCAGTGAGTGGACAGGAACGTTCTGCTCGAAAGGTCAAAGTTCTATTTATATTTTTAGGCAGTTAACCCTGCCAAACAAGCTTAGAATATTGTCTGTCAAAATGCCATAGCCACTAGCCCTTTAGAACTCTTCCAAGAACATTCTGTGCTAGTGTAAGTAACAAAGACTGGCAATAACAAGAAAGCTTCGCGGATTGATACGGATGAAACTACCTTTAAAATACAAGGAGAAGGTCAACGTTTCGAGCGAAGGCCCTTCATCAGAACTAACTAACTCCCCAACAAAGAGCATTCATACAAGACATCGAATTTCTCCTAACCTAGTAGTTATATCCCTATCAATCCGAAACTTTCTAAACACACTTAAAATTTAATTGTATGGAAAGAGAGAGCGTTTAATTGAAGTCAGAATGCTATATTATAAAGAGCTCCACACACAAGCAGGGCACTGCAGGAAGAAGTTAAACAATATATGTAGATAAGCTGACAGATGGCCCATTACTGTGAATAACACAAACCCTTTATAGATTCAATATATAGTAATCCCAAACTTAGACTAATGGATTAATTGTCCAACCACAGGGAAAGGGGTCAATATATAAAAAGGTCGCAGATGACACATCTTTTATTTTGTACAAAAATGATGCATTATGTTATGACACAATAAATGATTTGCAGTGTTATAAAGTGTGACAGACATTGCTAAAGGACCCAAAGCAAATTGAGCTGCAATAAAGTGTAATTACGAAACAGATGCCTTGCTTAATGATTGTCGAAAACTTCCATTCAGATTAGGAGTCATCTTTTATCACAGTTTACATAAAACCACTCGTGCTCGGACAATATCTCCAAAATGCACAGCTTGCAAGCCTGTTTTGCAAATTTGTAACAAGACTCGATTTAGAACCATTTAGTCGATTTCTTAGAATTTGCTCCTATGTATGTTGTTTATATATATTTCAAAAATATTTCACCCGGCCTTCCAAATAATAACTTCAGATCACAGCTTGTAGGCACGGCTCAACCCTCGCCAAGTATAAACTTCGAACAAGATAAATAATTCATGCCGCCTGCTTAAATTTTTTCTGAACACATTTCATGCTGTATTGACAGTACAAACCTTGAAATGCCCTACACACCAGATAAAAATCGCGATGTAGGCCGAAAATATTCTTAGATATTTGATTCTTGCACTCAAACCAGGGAAATATAACCGGGCTATATTTAACCCCAAGCCCCCAGGGGGAATTCAATGACAACTGTAGCGAAACAGATAACACACAAGGCGAACGCCGAAAATATTTCATTAAAATTATCTTGAAATACTCACATTCTGTCTTAAACGTGAAATACTCCGTGAGATGTCGGCATTCGTGATTTCCTCTCAACAGAAACAGCGTGTTAGGGTATAAAATCTTCAAAGTCCACAAATACAGCACACACTGCAAGGGAAAATAATTCAAAATACGTGCATTTAGCAAAAGGAAATCGCTGTTGACAGCTCGCTAGGCATTAAATCCGTCTCAAATAACTTGATGTACAATATTAACACCAATTTGTTTATATGTCCAACATACGATTATACTGTACTATATTAGTTTGGCTTTTCATTCGAGCTTCCAAAGATGGAAACGTCTTCCGACAGATGTATATACAGAAATAGACAAATGGCCGAAACGAATTTTGATTAATACGGTCTGCATGCGAAAGTTCAGTCTTTCAATTTTTCAAATATAAACAAAGCATATATACCTCGATTGAAAAATAACCACGATCCACATAGTCTCCGAGGAACAGGTAGCGAGTCGTCGAAGGCGAACCACCAACCTCAAAGAGCTTCATAAGATCGTAAAATTGTCCATGTATATCACCACAAACTACAGAAGACGGAAGCCAACATTTACAATAAATTAGCTTCTTGTACCGAAGCGGAGTATTAACGGGTAGCGAGTAATTTTGAAAGCGGCTTTCAAAAGCTCGTCTTCGACTGTACAAAACTGACCTGTTATGGGCGCTTCAACTTCCAAAACGTTTCTTTCCTTTCGCAGAATCGCCGTTGCATCGCGAATTATTCGCATGGCGACATCTTCTTCGACGCGTCCTTCTTGTACAAAATGGGCCTTTAGGACAGCATGCCTTGGCTTTCCGGCTTCGTCGAACACCTCAGACAGCGTAAGCTTGTGAATCGGAGGCATTGGCACATCTGCAAATACAGACATAATAAATTATCTTCTTCAAAACACAACAGGAATCCAATTTGTATAAGGCTCTTATGAAACTAACTTTTTACGGCCCGTTCGCCGCTCGATACGGTTCCATCTTGACTTGCCATATTCAAACGTATCTTGGAAATCTAAAACAGTACGCCTGATGGCAAATCCGTGGATAATTTCACCGGGATGGAATGGATTATACCCGACACCTTCGTCCCTCCCTTTCGTTGTCGAAGTCCATCATCATAGCAAAACAAAGACCGCAAAACAAAATTCGATTCGGGAGTGAAGCTACTGCGCACGCGCGGTAATCCGGAATGGAAAAAGATGAAAGACATGAAATTAAATAGAATACATTTATAAAACAAAATATATCAAATATTGCTAGTCGAGTATATTAATATTGGCACTTGTATATAAACTCCTGTAAACGCGGAAATGAGATAATTTTTCAATGATATTAGCCCTGGTTTGGGGCCGGGAATTTTGTAATTATCCATTTATCCTAGCGCTATTTTATCGTTAGTAAAATCAATGTGAATGGGGGGTCTTTCGATGTCAGATGTAAAGCTAAAATTCAAGTCAACTTTTAAGCCCCAAGTTCCAAAGTGCAGTTTAATTATTCGTCAGCTATCAGTCATGATATTTTGTCAGTCAAAAACAGCCAAATGCCAGTAGAGAAATTGTAAAAATAGGAGTCTGTTGACACCGTTCAGAGCCTTATTAGCCTTATTAATGAAGATGAAAAGTAATCTATGCATTTACTATGCATTTAATCAGTGATTGGGAAGGTGATAGTGAAAGTGCTTATGCATACGAGCTATATTATAAATTGCAAAAACAGGAAACTAAACGGTCTTACTGTAATGCTTTCTCAAAATTAACCTGTTTCCCCCAAATACACTTTTATTTGTCTGACTTTTCACACGAGATGAAACCAAAGACGAACACCCACAACTTTCGATTCGATTTTTTTCGGCAGAGTGTTGACGGATTCATTCCGCATGAGCAGGCTCTAAACATCGAGAGCGAAAGGGGTGTAGACGCTTCTTTCGTCCGCAGGAAGATGTACTTTAATACGAAAACGGAACAGTGTGAGAACGTTTGGAAATACCAGCATTTTGGGCATCCACACTCGGACATAACTAATTGTGGAAGGCTTTTGTACATGGAAATTGTGAGTGTGAATTTTTATACATTTATAAAACCTAACCAGAAGTTGCGAAAAATGCGGCTATACTCATAGGCCGCGGGGCCTGGCCCCTGCGATTCCGATGCAGCGCTCTGACCGGCAACTGAGCTACAAGGCCCAAAGGCCAGTTGTCGAGCTCTGACCACAAGTTCATGTTTATGTATACTAATTTAATTTTTTTTTAATTTAAAACAATGCCCAACCTACAATTAGTTATACTTAGGCGAGACTTTTTTTATTTATTGGTTTACGGATTTTACTTGAAAAAAACAGGTCGGTAGGTCGGAAAAAAATAAAAAAACCCAGTGTTTTTCAAGATTGTCACAACGATAACATGAGCCAGTAGTACTTAGAGGTCTGACTGACTTAGAGTGAAAGTTTACTTGGCGTGTACTTCATGTCAGAACCCCAAATTAACTAAAATTAACTAAAATTGTTGACATCCAAATTTTTTTTTATTTTTCACAAGTCTCGCCAATAGTTTTTATATATACATGAACTTGTGGTTAGAGCTCGACAACTGGGCTATATATAGCTCAGTTGGTCAGAGCGCTGCATCGGAATAGCAGCGCTCAATTCCTGCCCATAGTTGCATTTTTTGCAACTGTTCCTGGTTGCGTCTTATAAATGTTTAAGATCTACAAATCATCTACAAATTAAACCTCCCCGAACGCACAGAATACTGTGCAGAAGTCCATCTCCATTGTTTCTTGCGTAAATGCTATTCGTCATGATCGTCACTCAGCAAGTACAGTAAACAGAAGCAGTCACCCCCCTGGAGTTGTGCAATTTTGAATATTTCCAGGGGGCGACTGCTTCTGTTTTGGGTCTTGCTGAGCGGACGGAATCATGACGAATAGCGCTTACGCAAAAAACAATGGAGATGGACTTCTGTATAGTATTCTGTGCCGAACGTTTGAAAAGTCTTCCCTTTTCAAAGTGACTCAATAAACACCCCTCGAGAAAGCACATAAGATCAATTAAATACGCCCACATTCAGCCCTTACATACTAACCATATTTGTCCGTGTCTGACAGGCAAGCACGCCACGCCAACGCGATGCAGTGCCTACCCCCGCAAGTCTTAATAAAGAACAAACACGATCGCCGACAACATAGAAAGCATCGAAAAATAAACAAGTTTTCCACCAAAAACAAGAAAATTATACTTATCGCGCTAATTCAACAACTGGTCACGCTAGTTTAGTGATCATGACAGATTATCATAGTTTTAAGACGGACAAGTTGAAAAGTAGGAAAACTATAGACAATAGATTACTAATGATTAGGTATAAATATTTCGGAATAGTTACACAGAACTGGGAAAATACGTCAAAGAGGATAAGAGTTGACAGTCACGAATTGTTACAGGGGCCATTTCAAGCTCTAGATTAACAAAATAAAGGTTTGATGAATGTTCCAACTATGTTTTAACTTAGACCCCGTTCACACGATACCGGCAGAGTTTGAAAACGGTACGAAATTCTTTAAATAGAATACATGCTAGTGTTGGGAAAGCATTAAGAACAGCTAACCAAGCGGATCGCGTGACTGCACTCTCATCCTCGCTTGATCCGGACTGAAGTCATATCAATCAAGATATGATGGTTTGGAAACTAAAAAGAAGTCATTATGTTATGTTTTTGTCCAAGTTGATGTTAATTTGTACACGGTATGAAGTGATCGTCCAATAGGGATACCTGAGATGAAACGTGCAACCACGATAAATAGACAATTCCCATTATAGACTAATTTTAAAACTAGGCAAGCTAGGAGATGCAAATAAATCACCACAGCTAGAAAGAGCATACTAAAATTAGTAAAATTACAAAATTTGGTTGCGAAATGTTGTAAAATGTGGAAAATATTGCCTTGCAAAGTTTGCAAATTTTGTATACTTTTGTATTGCGTGTGACATTTTCGGCCTAAATGTGGTAGGAATGTGGTAGGAATTTCCGCAAGCAATACAAAAGTATACAAAATTTGCGAACTTTGCAAGGCTATACTTTCCTCATTTTACAACATTTCGCAACCAAACTTTGTAATTTTACTAATTTTAGTATGCTCTTTCTAGCTGTGGTGATTTATTTGCATCTCCTTGCCTAGTTTTAAAATTAGTCTATAATGGAATTGTCTATTAATGAAGTTGAGACAAAGGATTTTGTGCATGGTGAGATACAGTTCAACAACAAACAAAGCTCTTCTATTTTGTGGCTTTGAACTTTGCCGGGCTTCCAGACCATCATATGTTGGCAGAGTATGTTCAGTTGCTATATTGTAAATAAACTAATGTTTTTGAATAACTCTGGCATGACACCAGAGAGCCACATCGTCGTTTAACGTATGGATAAATGTGGATAGGGTAGATTAGAAAGGGTCACATGAGGTTAAATAAGGAACACACGATCATCAGAGACCATGAGTTGGTTGGCGTCCATCATTGCGTCTAGAGCTGCACGGATTTCACCACCAGAGAACTGGGTCGAGTCTTCGCCTTGGTTTACAGCGGTCGTGACGTCAGTAACGGACAACGATTGTACATGGGCAGCGGCAAACTCCTTTTGAAGTAAGGACTTGAAGGTTTCCAGTCTATTTGATTGAAAAACACACGATTCAAAACTTTGTTCGCGAGGTTCAGTATTAAGGGCATCAAGGATTGATCCAGTGTTACAACAGGAGGAGACCTGAACTAAACTAACTTTATTTCTACTGGATAGCTCTATCAGTTCTAAACTGTTCTTCCTAGAAATCCAGTGGGGAGCATCATGGATTGGTCCAGTGTTACTGCAGGAGAAAACCTAAACTAACTTTATTTATACAGGACAGCTCTATCAATTCTAAACTGTTCTTCCTAGAGGTCCAGTAATGATCATCTCTTGTTAATCCAGTGTTACTACACAAAGGAAGAAACCTGAACTAAATTAACTTTATTTATACTGGATAGCTCAATCAGTTCTAAACTGTTCTTCCTAGAGGTGCAGTAAGGATCATCTCTTATTTATCCAGTGTTACTACAGGAAGAAACCTGAACTAAACTAACTTTATTTATACTGGATAGCTCTATCAGTTCTAAACTGTTCTCCCTAGAGATGCGGTAAGGATCATCTCTTATTGATCCAGTGTTACTGCAGGAGGAAAGAAAACCTTCAGTTTTTAGCAGAGTCAAAAAGGGGCACTCTTCTCACATTGCGACTGGTCACAATAATAAAAAACACATACGCCAACCACTGTGCCATCAACATACCGACTTAAATTCTCGTCTGCCAACAATTAATCAAACTAACCGTTCTTTAGACAGAGGTTCTGAAGGTTCTGAAGGTTCATCAGTTTCCATTGAGGCAGATTCAGGAGTTTCGTCAGCCTTGTCGGAGGATCTTGCTCGTCTTCGTTTTATCTGATCTACAACATCTAATAATAATAATAATCATTAATAAAGAAACGATATTAGTTCCACTAAATCTATGGTAATGATAAAACAACCAGAAAAACGAAAAAATATCTTGCTCTAGTTTTATTACCTGTCGGCCTCTCGTGTTCGTCTTCATCATCGTCAAAATCAAATGGATCTGATTCTTCTCCTTCCTTTCTCTTTGGTTTCCTTTGACGTTTCGACTCCCGTCTTGGTCTGATGAGAAAATAAACAAACCATATCACCAAAACAACAACAAACAAATAGGCCTAGAATATATTTCTCTTTCTAGCAGCAAAATCCAAAAATAAAAAGTTCGACTTGCAAAACTCTTTTTGAGTTTTTTACAAAAGATAGATTATTTGGCATTTCAGTAAATAAGATGACAAAAACGTCCTGCAAGATGTAAGAACATTTCCTGGAAAGATATTTTGTTGAAAATTTCCTGGAAATATATTACGTTGAAAATTTCCTGGAAAGATATTTTGTTGAAAATTTTCTGGAAAGATATTTTGTTGACACATTTTCCAGCACCGCAAAAACAACACAAATTCCTACGTTTTCGAAGTTTTCCCTTGAGAGTCATCGCCTTCTTCCTCCTCTTCTTCTTCATCGTCACTTTCGTCGCTTGCTTTACGTTTTCGCTTTTCCTTCTTGGCAACCTAACACAATATGGAGGAAATCCAAACGTCAAAGTTTTAAT